ATCGTCGGACACAAACAAGCAGGGGAGGTCATCCCAGAAAATGAGCGCTCTGGGCCTGATTTTCTTTATCTGGTAGACAAGAATGCACTGGTAGGCAGGGGACCTTTCTTGTGTCGTTGCACCTGAGTTGTGGGTACTCCGCCTTCTACCCACTGAATTTTCAGCGTGGCATTGGGATGATGCAGAATCCTGATCCGGAAACTCGTGCAGGGTGAGAGCAGGACAGCCTTCCGTGGTCAGCACTGGACAGGCCCTTGCTCTGGGTTTGTCATCTTCTCGTCCAGGAGTAGGACCTCGCTGACTGACCCCGAGAGCCACCTGGAGGCGGCCTGGCGCGGGGAAGGACTCTCCCTGCCTTCCAGCTTCCAGAGGAGTCCGGGGGACTCCTCTATTCTTTCTGGCCTCAGTTTCTTCCCCTCTGGACAGGTAGAACTAATGAGCCCTTCAGTCCCCAATCTTCTCACAGCCTCCTCCCAGCTGTCAGCTTCTACACACGTGGCTGAGGATCCCCAGGTTCCGGCCACACAGGGAGGGACCAGGGCCAGGTGTTGCTCTAAGCGGGATGCCCTTGGTTCCCAAGCGTGCCTCTCCATCTTCCACTGCCAAACAAAGCTGTCCGCCAGGGCCATCCTGAGATCCTGCCTAGCCCGTTATGCGAGGAGGCCCAAGCACTACGGCAGCGGCTGATTTTAGGGAGCATTTTTCTGAGCCCTAGGCACAAATTCATCTTTCCTGTTGGATGCTACCACCCATCAGCAGGGTGTGTTTTCATTATTATTTTAATTTTGTGTTGGCAGAAAGACACTGCCAGATAGCGCCGTTCAAACGAAACGCTTACTTTGGGGGCCGTTCAAACCTCAGCACTTTGGGCTCAATGCTTCTCAGGACACCCGAAGCTCATATCGGCTTCTCCCAAACCGGCCTCCACACGGTGCTTAGCCTGCTGCCTGGGCCCCGCCCACACTTCCCGAGCTCATCCGCCGCGAAGGTTGGGTCTACCTTGGCCAAAGCTTCCTAGCAAGAACACATGCTGGAAGCAATCTGCACCAGGCACGGCCATCCTGCTGTCGGTCTCCTGGCCTCTCAGATCTGGCACAGAAGATCCAAGCGCACCTCATTAAAATGTGCACCTTATTTGACTTCCTTTGGATAGCAACTCTCTACTTCCAAGAATTACTTGACCTGACTGACATAAGTTGGCAAAACATTATTTGTGCATTTTGCATCTTTTTTTTTTTTTTTTGCTAACTTTCTGTAGGCAACATAATAAGGTTCTCATACCACACTTACTCCCGCTACAACTGCATGGTGCTAAGTATAGCAAAGACAGAATCCAACGTGTAAAATGGCCACAGTCACACTAAAGATAATCCAGCATTGCATTTTGATTTCTGAAACATGAGCCTAAATATTTAATTCTGGTTTAATTCAGGGCCCAAACTAGAAAATTGGTTATAGAAAATCTAACTCTCTCCCTCCGCTAAAAAAAAAGCAAAATAACTCAAACTGCAAAATTAATGATATAGTCTGCATAACTTTCTGTCTCTAGCTAAGTATTATAAATAACAAAACACTTAATAGAGAAAGAATGTGGAAAGTGCAGAAGTTAATTATGATTGCATCAAATCAGGACAGTCTGCCTCTGAGTTGCACTCCTAACACTTGTATCCCCTAGGAAATCGTCCAAAGTCGATAGAGCTTGGGCTTTTTTCATTGTATTCACTCTGAAAGCTGCACATTGCTCATCTGTTTTTAGATAAATCTAAAATACGGCATTTATCCCACATGTGCATGTGGTAAAGTAATCAAGAAAAATATTTTTAGTACCCCGTACCCCCACCCCATTTTAAAGGAAACCCTGACTGCAGTAATTCATGCTAATTGCAGGCTCTAAGAAGGGGTTAAAGCATTACCCAGGTACACGTCGGGTGGTCATTATAAATGCTACCCAAATAAAAGCCAGAAACAGGAAGCCAAAAAAACCAGGTCCCTACGGCAGGCATGTGTCTTAAATGATATCATTTGTCAAGTTTGCAGCACCTTGTGGTTGTGAACACAGAAAGTGTGCTGCTCCGAGGACATTACATCCTCATTAGCTGCACTGCTCCTCCGGTGCAGAATGCAGGACTTTTATTTTAATAAGAAGCAGTTACTTGTCACCGCACTTTCATTAGATAAATACGGGATGTAATACTAATGACCGCTCACAGAGGCTGTGCTTTGCCCAAGACACTGCGTTCAGATGAAATCATAGAAGAATTTCTAGAACGTATCATGCAAAACTTCTGTCCTTTCTTTGCAAACTCTTCCCTGATTTTTCTTTTCTTTTTTTTTTTTTAAATTCTGAAGTCGCATTCGCAGCAGAAGTCACCCTCAGAGTGAACAGGGACGACATCGTGGGCATTTGTCGTGTGCAGAGCAGATCGGAAGGAGCAGCATTTGGCTCTTTGCTTGCCCCAGCCAAATGGGAATGGACGCTGGACTCCTGGCTTTCTCCAGAGGCAGGCTCCTTCCCCCCTGCCCGGCCAGTGACCTTAAGCCCAACGTGCAGGGAAGGCCACGCTGAGAACCGAGAAATAATTTATCCACTGTGATTGTTCCGCCCTGGCCCCTTCTCTAAAACAAAGACTGACAATGGCCTTGAATTATGGATGTACTTTTTGTGATATGTAATACAGTTCAGAAGAAAGGTGTTGAAACCATAGCACCATTTCACCTCCCATTAGAGGCTGGTCTTGAACAATAATCCCAGAAGATGAAACTGACGTTGAACTATGACCCTCAATTTACAAATCATTTTTCAAAAGAATAAAAAAAAAGCTTAAACATATTTTTGGCATTATCTGAATGGGCGGAATCTTTCATGCTTGTTTTCTAGGAATAAATGAAAACAGCATGCCCCGTGGATTTTCAGTTTGGGGACAGAGAGAACAGGAGGTTTTCAGATTACATTTTAGTTTAAACCTGGGTGTTTGAATTTTATTTTTGCACAGCTGAATGTAGCATACGCCCTCAAAACATAACAAATTTCCATTCTGTAGCTTAAGGGATCCATCAGTTAAAATGTTGGTCTTTCATCTTTATTACCCTCCCATTAAAATGAAAGAAACCGGGACTCACTTCAGTTTAGAAGAAGCAATTTAGCTGGTAATGTCCTTAGTCCTGAGGTCCCCACAAAGGCAGAGAGTGCATTACGGCTTGCATTTCACACATCTATCTGCATAAGAAGCCACGGAGTCGTTCAGACATACACTATGCTAAATTTAATAATATTCTTTGATTCGATTATTTTATTACGGCATTTTCCCATTACCAATCATTTCCTGGGCACAGCTCCATTCTTAAAACTGGGCCTCCCCCGGCCCCTCGTGTGTGTGTGTGTGTGTGTGTGTGTGTGAAAGGGAGGCAGAGCCTCTTTCCGCTTTGCTACAGCTGTTAGGACTGAAGGGGACAGATTAATAACTAAGCCCCACATTGGACGAGATTTTCTTGTCCCCTGCACCAGTAACCCTTTGCCATAATGAGGACACAAAGAGCCTCGCATCAGGCTGCTACCCTTCTTCATAACTCAAAGGCGTCACAGTGGCAGTAGCCTCTAGTGCTATTTGTCTTTGGTGCAGTTGTGACACTTCGGCATGATCCATAATTTGGCAGCTATTTACCGTGACATTTCCCTTCAGTGCAGCCATAACATTCAGTGAAGCCATTATTTGGTTCCATTTACCATATAAATTGTATTGTTGGGCATGCATGCTAGCAGCGACATTAGGTACCTGAAAATGAGTAAATCTTGTAAAATAGATACTAACGGCTATCGGGCAGGAGGAGTTCCTTGCTCCTCGGTTGCAAGGAGGGAAAATTAAGCATGGCACCCAACTTTCCCGGAGCCTCTTTAACTGCAGGTCTATTTGTTGGGCACGTGAGAGACACTGACCCCAGGATGCTGGAGGAATAACCTGGTGGGCCCGACCCCTGGCTAGAAAGCATCTCTCAGCTTGGTGATGAAAGCTGTGGTGGTCTCGGGGCACCGGGGGTCGACGGCAAGCCGGCCGCAGGCAGATTCAGGAGAGAGAAGGTGCACGTTTCGCTCTGCACACATGGGCACGACATCCGGTGACGGCGACCGGCAGCACTGCATCCGCGAGAACACGTGGACCAAGTGAAACGGGTCCAGGGGCGGCTGAGTGCTCCTGTGTTTCCACCTCCCACGCCTGACCACCTCTAGGAAGCAGAGGCATTGCCAGGGATCCTCCGGGTCGTCATGCAGGGCAGGGCGCCGCGGGCAACCCCGGCAGTGTCCAGGCAGGCTCCCCTCCTGCCGCCGCCTTGAGCTCCGGGAACCCACGCTTCCCCCTGCCCGCATTGATTTTTAACAGTCAGCCTAATCTCTGTGGCTTTCCTCTCCAAAACCCACTCGGAGACAGAAATTTCCCATCCCCTGCGAGCCTCAATGGCATGATGGTGGACAAAAGCCACAGTCACACACACCGCGTGAAACTGCACTTGTGTTTCACGAAGCGCATTTGTAGCAACAAAATAAAATGGGGGGAGGTGGGCTCACCCCAGCTTTCATTTGGGCAGTCAGGCAGCGAGGCCCAGGGAAGCACCAGGGCCATTTCCCGAGGATATGTGGACCCTGAAGAGCTGTGGCTGACTTGCGCAGTGTCTCTCAGGCACAGAGGATGAGCACAGCAAACTCTCCCAAAACAAAGGGTCTGGGAACGGCTCTCAAGACCGACGTTGAGATCTCGAGACCACGCTAACGATATCTTGACTCGATCAGATCTTACATCAGGAACTCATTCACTTCCCTGGAACAATAAAATCTGGAATGAGATCGTCCATGACTAAAGAACTGAATGTAAACGTTTTACCTCTTAGCCATCTAGGGAAGTTTTATTAGCACATTTGTTTTTTTCCAAGGGAGGAGCATATAATAATTAGGGCAGAACAAAAGAGGAGAGAGAGAGGGGGTCAGGAGAAAGAGAAAGAGAAAGACATTCAGTAACACCTTGCTTTTGTTTAAGAAATATTATATCCATTAACAAGCACAAATGAATTGATTTGAGTCCAACGGCAGCGTGAAGAGCTCACGTAAGTCCTCTGATTGATGCCATTGTTCTGTTTTTACAGCTTACTGCCGACCGAGTGAGGCAGCTCCACCACGATCTTCCCGGTGTTTCTCCCCGTGTACAGATAATCGACAGCGCGGAACACGGACGCCAGCCCGGTGAACCTGCCCTCGGGGGCCTGCTCTCCGAGGTCCACCCCACAAAGCAGCTCTCCGCTGTCACACATCTTGAGCAGGTGGCCTACGGCTGCCTGGTACTCGGAGAGGTAATGGTTCAGGAAGAAGCCCTGGACACTGGCGGACCTCCTCAGCAGCTTGGCGGGCAGCGTCCCGGCCTTCACGGGCGCCAGGCCAGTAGGGCTCTGGTAGCCAGAGATGAAGCCAATGACTATCAAGCGCCCCTTGGTAGTCAAGGCGTCCACGGCCAAGTCAAACATGGCTCCCCCGACAGACTCGTAGACTACGTCGACGCCTGTAGGGTACTCCCGCTTGAGGACAGCAGCCACGGACTCGGCGTTATAGTTGATGGGCCGGTCGCACCCCAGAGACTTCAGGAAGGCAGCCTTCTCGGCCGAGGAGCAGGTTCCCACCACGTGGCACTTGGCCTTCTTGGAAAGCTGCACGGCAAACTGGCCTGTGCCCCCTGCGGCTGCCGTCACCAGCACCTTCTTCCCTGGGGCCAGGGCTCCCAGCTCTTTCAGGCTGATGTACGCGGTGGTGCCACTCACCAGCAGGGTGAGGTACTCGGGCTTCACCGAGGGCACCGCTACGGCAACACTGGCAGGCACCACTGTGTACTCAGCGAAAGCGCCAGGCGTCATGTAAGCCACAGGTTGGCCAACCGTGTACTTGGCGCTGGCCGAAAGGCCTAAGGCCACCACCTCGCCGATGCCCTCGAAGCCCACGTCGAAGGGAGGCTGCACGGAGGGGTCGTAGCGGCCTGCAGAGTAGTTGATGTCGGAGGCGTTGATGCCCACAAACCTGGAAGAAAACAGACACAGCCATTGAGAGACATCTTTTGTGAAGGCGCCCAGATTCTGCTTAGAACAATTTCTCTAATTCTGGTGCTGGTGGAGAGGCTGCTGAGCTCCCAGTCCGACAGAATGGGAGAAAACTCCTCCTGCCCTGATTCAGTTAAAAAAAAAAATCAAACAAGTGTTAGTTCACCGGGGATCTGCCCCCTGCGTTTCAGCGCATTTTACTCGCTCGTCAGCTGCGGGATAATTTCGTATCTCTCCAATCGCAAGTTATTTATTTCACTTCCGTCCTCTTTCAGAAGGAGAAATAGGAAGAAAAGAAGTCAGGAAACCCTCATTATATACAAACTTTCACTGGAACTATGAGTTGGAAATTAATTGGCCTCTTAACAAAGATGTTAAAAACAACACCCGGGTGAAATATATCCTGAGAAGTAGACTGGTATTGATTCTGGCAACAATTTAACACTTGAGATAATAATAGCAATGACAATGATATTCGTAAAGATTGATGCAATGTGTAAGGTCATCCTGGCTGCATTTGGCCGCGGGGGCGGCTTGGAGGCTGTGAGGAGCCCACAGCACATTTTCTTTCTGATGTAACCAAGTCCGCTGTGAAAATATACATCTTGATTAATTGAGCAAAAATGGGGTAGGGCGATTTTTATGGCGCATCCAACATTTTACAGTTCTTTTCAGATGAAAAGGAAAGCAAATCGTCTGTGTTTTTCCCCAACAAGAAGCAGGGCGCTAACCTGATTAACACCAGGTGATCATTTTTATTTGGGTATTCGCAGTCAACTGCACTGCCAGCCCCGTGGTTTCCTTCTTCTTCATCTCAGTATACCTCATAACAAAAGTATCCTGGTACGTAACGGGGAAACGGCCATCCACCAAGAATGTCAGGGGGCGGCTCAGATCCCAGGAGAGGGCCCTAAAAATGTCATTTCCCTGTCCGATGACACAAGCAGACGGCGGGTCTGGTGGCCAGAGGGAGCCCGTTAAGTAGGTCATTTCCACTTTTCATTTAGCTTCGCCAGCCAGGGCTGCTGTGCCGAGAGGCCCCGCACCGCACCGGGGCGGCTGCGGGACACACTAACAAGTGAGCCTGGGTTCCTGTTCCCCCGCGCGTCCGCCGTGCGGAGGGGGCTCCTGGAGAGCAGAACGCGGGAAGCACTTTCCCAAATCTGCAGCCGCGGCCTCCCAAACCCGTGTCGCCGCTGCACACAAAGACCGCAATTGCGGGCTTCCCGCTGGGACGCCCACGCGCTATTTTTGGAGAGGGGTGGGGGTCTGCCACCTCTCCTGCGCTTCTACGCGGCGTTCCGGGCCTGGTGCGCCAGGAAGGGCCATCTTCCTGGGAGGGCGCCGCGGGGCCTCTCGGAGAGCCGCCCGGGGCAGCGCCAGCTGGAGCGCATCCCGCGTCTGGGGAAGGCGCGGGTGGAAGCCAGGGCGGGCGGGCAGGGCTGGCTTGGGGGTGGGGGCTGGGCCCCCGTCGGTCGGTCCCGTCCTCCCCTCTCCCTCTCCCGCATTAACCCTTCCCACGCCCTCGCCCATCACGTCGGTTCCCCGGGCACAGCTGATCCAGGGCTCGGAAGCACCCCGGGCCAGCCTCCCCTCTGCGGGGGCCCTGCGGGTCCTCGCCTCCTCCCGCCGGCGCGTCCCGGGGGGGCTTTGCGCGGGAAAAGGCTTAGCGGCTGCGTCCAGGCCGCAGTTCGCCACTCACTTCCCCGTGGGCGGGCGGGGAGCGCCGCAGGGCGCACGACAGAGGGAAGCGGAGGGGACGGCGCCCAGGCGTCGGGCGGGGAGCGGCCGGCTCACTCGATAAACCACGCCGCCTGCTGTAGCTGGAGCGGTGGCCGCGGCCGCGCAGCCCGCCGGTCTCGGCTTCGGGACCTGGGCGCCCTTGGAGGTTGGCCGGCCAGCGCTAGTGGCTCGGCCTCTCCACGCCAAGGACCACAAGAGCCCGCTCAGGTCGGCCGGGGTGCGTGGGTCGGGCGCGGGGTTGGCGAGTCCGCCTTCCAGGCCTGCGACCTTGACCTCGGCTTCCCGGGACGGGGCGGGGGTCCCGGAGGGCGCACCCCGATTCCCGGCGCCGGCCGTGAAGTTCCGACCCGGGCCTGCCAAGCCCTTCCTGCTGGCTTCGGCCAGCCCGTGACCTTGGCCTCGAAGGCGCCGGGTTCTGCGCCCCCCACCCCCGGCCCTGCCTTCCGGCAAACTGCCCGCGGCGTCCGCGCGGGAGGCTGGGGCTGGCGGCCACAGCCCGAGGCGGATTGGCCCCGCGCCCTCTCCCCGCACCCCCGCGTTGACTGCGTCGCCGCAGCGGATGGCCCGGGACGCGCCTCGGTCCTCACCGGGGCTCTAAGGAGCCTGAGCTTTCCGCCCAGGGCGGGGAGGAAGTTCAAGGGCGGCGGGCGCCGAGGGCAGGGGCCAGGGTGTGTGGGCCACAGAGAGACAGGAAAGGTGCGCGCGTTTGGGGACCACCCCTGGAACCCCCTTTAATCGGAACTGTGTGCCCGCAGTGAGGGCAGGATTGTGGCGGTCCGACGGGAGCCTCACTGTGAAGACCCCCATCAGGAGCCGCAGGCCAGACCCGCACGTGTGCCCTCCCGGCGTCTTCGTTCCGAGAGCCGGGCCCCTCTGCCCTGCACGCGGGAGGCGAGCGCTTCCCGGGAGCAGAGGCCGGGCGCCGAGGCTCAGTCCCGGGTACAGAGCCCTGGGCGCCGGGCGAGGACGTGAAGTCGTCCGGACCTGACCTTCGTCTTGAACAACAGCCAGAAGCGGGGCAAAGGAAGGAAGGGAGAGCCACCTCGGCCTGGAGTCAGCAGAAACACTGTGGCCTCCCGCGAGCGACAAACGGTGCCTCGCCGCCGCCTCCCCATCCCCCTCCGCTCCATGCCCGCTCACTCCCGGCTCCATTATCTCACACCAGGGCAGAAAATCGTTACGAATATTTGGAAACGAAATCATCCGTCACCCCCTCGCGGAAAAGGTGGAAGAGGCGCACCAGCCAAGTCGACCTGGGGTGTCTTCCCGCCGGCCCCTCTCCCTCCGGGGCTGCGAACAGAGCGGGACCGGGGAGAGAAGGCGGCTGGGCCAGCGCTGGGCACAGGCGCCGCGGTCGCGCAGCGCGGGGACATGACCCCAAGTCAGCACTGGGCCCTGCGAACCAGGAATTCGTGTTTGCTCTTCGGCTGGAGTGAGGGGCGCAGGCTTTTCACTGGAGGAACAACCCAGGCGGGGCACCACCAGCACCTTTGCCAACGAGCGAATTAGGGCTTCCTCCATTCATTCCAGGGCAGAGTTTGTTGGGAAAAGTCAGAGGCGCTTGCCTAACATTTTAATAATTAACACTGCTAACAGGAGGTTCGGTCTGGGATTCACATAAAGCAACCTGCGGCGAATTATTAAACCTCTATTCTTTAAAAAATCAGCAACATGCCGCCTCCACTTAGTAAGAAGGGACCTCCTTCCGTATGCCGGTGGCAGAGTCTCCTGGAGCCGGGAAAGGGGGAGGCGAAGAAGCCGCCACTCCCAGCTGGAAGGCAACTGGCTCCATCTTCGTGCTGCGGACTCAAGGCAGAACTTCGAGGTCAAGTTGTTCACAGAAGCGTTCTATTTCTATGGAAGGGATTGGTGGCATAGATAGAGCAGGGGGAAAATAAAAGGAGGCATGGCTTTTAAAGCAACCCAAACCGAGGCGCTCCAACACGGGGCCGGCGCCCCTGCGCACGCATCGCCAGATTCAGCCACTGCGCTCCGGTCTCCGGGCCAGCCCTGGTGACCGCTCATCCGGCCATGCCGCCGCCGCAGGACGGCAGCCCTTTGGGGAAGGGGCGGCCGCCAGGGCAACGTGAACGGAGGGCAGTGGGAAGAGGGAGACGGCCGCGGAGCCGGTGACCTCGCGCAGGTGGAGGCCCGGGGGACGGGCAGCCCCGCCGAGCGGCCTCCAGCCACGGCGGGTGGTCCCACGTCGCTGCTGCTCGCGGTTCTCCAACTTCGCGCCTGCCTCCACGCACCCCGCATCCCGCGTCTAGACTTCGGCCGTGCGCTTGTGTGTATGCTCAAAGTGGGGGTCACAGTCCAATCTACTTTTATCAGAGAGCGCAAAATAAAGGGCCCGGGTGCAACCATTTGCCGGTCAAAGTTTGTTTGGAAAGCTGATCAGCCTGTGCTGTCCATTTAGGGCAAATCACAGGTGCGTTTTGGGCAATTCAGGTGAACACTCCCCCTCCCCACCCTACCCCTGCTCCCCACCCGGCTCCCCAGCTCGGCAGGGCAAGAGCCTCAGCCACATCATGATAAAATGGAACAATGCCGTGTGCCGGTGGGGCGGCCGGACACCCCTTCTCAAGGACACCCACCCACTCCCCCACCTCCACCCAAGGCACGCCTTAACCCCCCTCCCCACTCAATCCCACCCCACAGCTCAGTCCATCACTAAGTTTCCAACAGGTCTCCAAGAGTTTGCCCCCAGCCCTCCTTCTCCCACCCTACAGTCGGGTCTGGGGTCTCACGGTCTCCACGGTAGACCCCCGAGGGGCTGCCTCCGGCTACCTGGGCAGGCTGCTAGCTGGGCACCCGCAGCTCCTCTAGCAGACAATTTACAACGTGTGCACAGCCAAGACCGGGTCCCCCTTTCCAAGACATTATTTCCTTGGAACGACGGCCCTCCAGACAACCCCTGGGACGGGCTTAGCAGGCGCGCCGGCTAAGGGACCCAGGGCGCTGAGCCCCGACGGAGAAGTCTTTCCCTGTTGCTTCACCGGTCACCAAAGCTTAGTGAGGTGGAAACGCACTAAGCAGCGGGCTGTGGGGGTGGAGGTGGTCATAAGGTCGGGCGACGGACGACCCGAGTGTCACCCGAACGTCCGTCCGACGCGCAGCCGACCCCAGCCCTGGCCCAGCTGCCCAGTTCGCGCGCCGCCCGCCTGTGGAACACCCCGGGGACAGGCAGCAGCCGCACGCACCAGGAAGCCCTGACCACGCGCACACAGCCCGGGCGAAGCGCGCACCCACACCCCCAAGCGCAGGCTCGGCCCCTGCGAGGCGGCGGCCGAGACGGAGGGGCCTGGAGAAGCCAGCCGGGTCCCTCGCCTCCTTCTCCAAAGCACGTTTACCTAAATGTCGCAGTCTGCGTCCCGGGTGCTCCCGCTCCACCCTACAGATTATGTCAAGGCAGGAACCGTGGGTGCGCGCGGGTGGGCCGGGCGGGGAGCCTCCCCTTCTGGGTCCCGTCGGTTTTATTTCGGGAGTGGGAGGGGGAGGAGGGAGGGCTGGGGGAGGGGAGGGGAATCCCAAATTAAAATAACCCTCGGTGATGAGGACTTTCCGCGGCGTCGGATATTCACACCAGTAACAGGCACACTACGTCCGCCTTCGCCAGATGGCGGCGGGTTGAACTTGCCGGGATCTGGCTAAGTCCGGCCGTGCGCCCGAGCGCGCCGGAGGCGGGCGGGCCCGGGACAGCCGGGAGCAGCGCTGCGCGCGGGCCGGGGCTGGGGCCGGGAACGGGGCGCGCGCGCCGGGCTCACCGGTTCCGGACGAGGAGGTCTCCGTCCCCGGGGAGCGGCACCGGGCAATCCCGGCGCAGGGTGACGGCCTCGCGGAAGCTGGGGCTCAGCCGGGTCACCGCCAGCTTCTGCATGGTTCGGGGGATGGCGGAGCCCTGGAAGTCCAGGAAGTGGCGGGCGTACGACATGTCCACGATGGTTCGGGCCCCGGCGGGCGCCAGCCGCAGCATAGCCCGCGCCTCCGCCCGCTCTCTGCGCCGCCGCTGGCCGGGGTCGCGCCCAGCCCGGGCCGCTGGGCTCGGCGCGGCTCGGCGCGGCGCGGGCGGGCGGAGCGGGCGGGTCCGCCCCTCCTCCGGCCGGCGCCCTCCCCTCGGCTCTCCCCCTCCCGCGCTACGCCCGGCTCCCGCTCCCCCCGCCCCCAGCCCCGCGCGCGCGGCGCCCGACTTCGGCGCAGCCTCCGCGGCAGCGGGGCGAGCCGGCCGCGGGGTCCGGCGGGTGGATCGCCGCCGGCCGGGCCGCTGCTCCTTTAATCTTTTTGTTTTGGTTTGAATCTGCTCGGCGCAGACTGGCCAAGGATCCTCCCGCCCTCCCCCTTCCTCCCGGCGCGGGAGAGGCACCGGATATCCCCACCCTCCCCACGCTCCAAAAGCCGGATTTGACTCCTCGGGGGCGCGTGGTGGTGGTGGCGTGGGAGTGGGAGGGGGGGCGCCTGGCCAGGGCACTCGCGTGTCCCGCGATCGCCGCGGCCGGCCCGGGCGTCCCCGGAGCTGCGCGGCGCGGCGCCGGGAGGCCGGCGTAGGCGCCTCCCCTTCCCGTGCGAAGCGTTCACTTCCTTGCAAGGTGGTACGAATCAACCCCGAGCGCGGCCCGGGCGGCAGGGCACGGCCGCGGGCCCAGGGCCGGGCGCGGAGCCGCCGCCCGCAGTGTGCGCGCACAGGCCCCCGAGCGCGGGGCGGGGACGCCGGGGCTCCCCGCGACCGCGGCTCGCGCGGCCTCCTGCCCCCGGGAGCGTCCTGCCCGCGCCTGCCGCCCGCGCGCCCTGTCCCGTGCGAGTTGCAGGAACTAAGCCATTTTATTTATTTTGGCCTGGGTGTGTAGTTTTTTCCGGGAGTGCTGAGGCTGGAGCGAGCACACAGATTGGAAACCTGAGCGCCCAGGGCTCCCAGGGCACACAGACAGGGTGCAGTGCCAGGTGGGGCTGCCTGGGGAGGGCCCCGTTCTCCAGCCCAGCCCGGGAGAGCTGTAGCTCCGTGGCGTCAGTTTTCTCCCGGGTCGTGTGGCGTCCGCTGACCCAGTCATCAATTCACTTTTCATGGTTTGGGGGGGGGGAGGGGATGCGGGGGGAGAGGTCAGATGAAAATATTTCCACTTTTCCGCGAGGCGCTAAATCCATCCTGAGATTCTGATTCGAGGCGTGAACTTTTAACTTAGGAAAGCCCTCGTCGCCCACCTGTCCGGGAGGCGCCAGGATGGCAAAGCCACACAGTGCCGCTCCCCAGCCAAATGTCACCCCCAACCTGGGATGGCGCCAGGGCCGCGGGTCTGGCCTCTGCTGCTCCCTCGCAGGGCACGCTTCATCCGGGGGTGACCCGCATCCACGTGGGCGCGAGTGTGGGGATGCCCCAGCGGGGGAGGGGGCGGACAGGTCTCGGAACCTGCGGGGACTTCACTCGACTGGGAACACTCGGGCTTCCCCGGGAGCAGCCGGCGGATGACAATAGCTGGCCCTGGATGTCTTCCTCCAATGTGCAATCTTTTATGGTACGCTGTATTAAGATTTCCTTTTTGTGTCATATTGTTTAGCCCTGGCAAAAAAAAAAAAAAAAAGAAAACAAAGCAATTAAAAAGATTGACAGGTATGGTTTGTGTGAGACCTATTTGTAATTGTCAGGGTGACGTTGGCGCGAGGAGGAGGAGTAAGAACTGAAGCTGGAAAGCAGCTCGATGTGTCTGTCTATCAGTTGAGACTGTCTGAGAGCTCTGCGATCCGAATGTGTGTTATATTTCACTGAAAAGAGGAGAGAGCGAGAGTGCATCTCCCTCTCTCCCAGGAGTTTGGGGGGGCACCGTCCACGCTCGGCGCGCCCGCCCCGAACGTCTGCGCCTCGCCCCTGTGCACACACACGCTCCGGGTTGTTGTGGTTGGCTTTTTTTTTTTCTTTTCTTCTTTTCTTTTTTTTTTCTTCCTTTTTTTTTTTTTTTGGAGGGGGGATGTTTTTTGTGTATTTTTCAAAATTTTTTTCCTGCTGCAAGATCCCCACCGGCCCCAGCCTCCCGATCCGAATGTGTCTGCGGTAGATTTCGCGTTGGAAGAAGCGGCGACCGCGGCGGCCAGGCCCCCGGGGGGCAGCGCGGGGCACCAAGTGGCGCTCCGGCGGCGGGTGACACTGTTTGATCTGTGACTGTTGGGAAGGTGGAGCGGCGCCTGACATCTCCCCCCGGCGCGCGTATGTACGGGGGCTTCACTCCTCTGTCTTGTTTGCTTTCTTCCTCCTAGACTAAGTGCGCGAGGAAAGGACAGCCCGCATCGGCCTCGCTGGCGCACAATGAGAGAGCGACGACCCGCGCACTAAAAGCACTCGCCGCGACCCCCGAACAGCGAGCGCAGAGGGGCACAGAAAGTTGCGCTCGGAGACTCTCGGCTCGCCGGGGAAGGCGCAGGGCAGCGCCCGGAGCGGCGCGCCCGAGGAGCGCCCGCCAGCAGCAGCGCGGCGCCGGGGACGCGGCAGCATGGAGCGCGGGCCGCGGGCCGGCCCGCCGAGCGCCCGCCGCTGCGCCCGCGGCCCGCGCCGGGGATGACTCCGGGCTCGGCGCCCAGGCCCCGCGCGCTCCGCCCGCAGCCCGG